TAGGCACCAGCTCAATGTTCCCAAGAGGCATCCCTGGCATCATAATAAGAACGACAGCATAATCAGATCACAGTCCTTCCATTGGTAGAATTTCGGGAACTAATTGATGTGTTTGATACTTACTCGTGATCGGACATGTACGATGGCCCTCACTTATCCACTGTCTGATGGAGCTCCTCTCATAAGTTTGTCCCGTGACAACCATGACTGGATCAGCCATCAGCTCGCATGTGATAGGACATAGAAACTCAGGAGGTGGCTCATCGTTCATGCTTGACCGTCTCCTGTAGGAACATTGTGATCAGGTTTGTTAGCATGAATCAAGTGGAACAGCATAAAAGAGGTCTTACCTTCTTGTGCCAAAAGGTCGATCTGGTGTGCCATAACTAACGGTGCCTTTCCTGGGCTTTTCAGCAGAAGCATCATCCAGGGCCTTAGAAGTATTGTTGCCGGAGTCTGAGCAAAACAGCTTGTTAGTGTTTACCCTTCTTTCCCTTTTAAGATCTAACGGGATCCAAAACTTACCAGACGTCTCTGGCAATGAGGTGGGTTCCGCAGTTCCAGTAGGCGATGCTACTTCTGCAAATGAGCGAGGACTGAGAACGGATGGAGCGAAGCTGTTACCGTTGTCTTGCGTTGTCCGTATGGATTCAAGCATTGTTCTTGTTGCCTCCAGGCGCATCTCTCCGTCGTTTGCCGATCTGCGTTCATGTAATGATTAGCTCAAGCGAGATGGGGAGTGTGTGTCAAAGACAACCTTTCTCACCTGCCAGACGACGTTCCTTCACGACCACGAGATGTTTGCTGACCATTACTTGAATCATTAAGCGAGAGCTGGCTCATGCTTTGCACACTCCGCCAATAACCATGCCTTCCTTGAAGTATTATGTCCAAGGCGTGATCGGATGCACCACTCACGACTTCGTCACAACCAGTATTGACCATTTCTTTCAGACGAGCATCATTCGGATCAAGGTTCACGTCGACGTTCTTGAGCTTCATAGCTGCTTTAGACGCTGCTGTGAGAACGTCCGAAAATAAGTGCACCGGAAACCCCGGTTCCATCTGTGTATTACATGAAGCAAGTTAGTGTCGCGCTTTGAACATGCCTCCGCGGCTGCATGCTAGACTTTCAGGTCACCTTGATCCTTGTGCTGGCAAACTCATATAATGCATCCCCCGTTTTCTTCGTTGCGTCTTGAAGACGTGACGTGAAGGAATCCGAGTGCTGAAGCAAGTGAAACTTCCATAGCCTATCGCGGCACAAATCCACGCAGACAGTCACATCCGCCAGTGAGCTAGCCATCTCAGAAAGAGATTCCGCCAAGCTGTTACCCTGTGCTACTGTGAGGTTAGTGTGCTTGAGAACCAAGAAAAGTGGTTGGACTTCTTTCAGTGCATCACAAATCTCCCGGCAAGCACGCGAGCACAATACAGCGTCAGCCGAGCACTCCGTCGAGTAGCAGATCATCTGTTCGATGACCTTGAGCATTTCCGTTCGGTCAATGTGAAGTGCTTGGCCGGCTGCGTTATCGTCTCTGTCCGCCATGTTTGGGGTTGCGATCTGCAATTGCAAAGTAGCCCCCTCGATCAGCTATGAGGGGCTTTGTATTCAAGAGTCTGGACTCTGGCGCTTTGCGTTCGTCATCGAACGAGTCTGTCTGCTTTCGAGATGTGAATCACGTGTCATTCCGCCAGAAGATGGTGGAACGGCACACGAATTTTCACTTGTAACATATATTTTCAACTACAGTTCCATCTTTCCATTGCGTATATTCATAAGATAAGCTATTTGTAACTTCATCCATACTGAATAACTCAATTGTCACTCTAAGAATGGTAACGTAAGTACTTGTAAAGAATCACTATTTACTTACCCTTTCATATTTTGTCACAACCCGCTTTCCTCCCAAAATTTGGTGCTTTCCACTACAATCCAATCCTGGCCATTGGTGGGGAACACACGAGGAACTCGAACAAAGGTAAGGCTCCATGTGCCTGGCTCCACGCTCAACATGCCAACAACCGATCCATACCCAGCAGCAAACACTTATTCCGCTTGCCACATTGAACGTCCCCATTATGCAGTTACTGCTGGCAACAAAGCGGTCCAGCTTCTGCCAAACTACCCTATCTGCTATCAACCTACTCCGAAGAGAGTCACACGAGAGTGCCATTGAGTTACACCCCATATCACTTGCGACCACTGCCCCAGAAAAAGCTGAACATGGACGTTGACTTCTTTGCCGCACTTGCCTGTGCCGCCTTCCGTGCATCCTCCCCTGCCCCACGCCCTGCCCCTCTCCCTCCCGCATGTCCTCCTCTCCCCCCTCCTCGGCCTGCGCCCGAGCCTCCTGCTGCTTGCCGGGGAGGCGGCGCCCCATCTTGATCCAGATCCAGGGCCGTGTCCTTGGCCAGGATCTGCAGTGCTGGCAGCACTACCGACTCCAGGTCAGGCCGGTTTGCCTTGTCACGGCACCTCAACGCCAGCTCAGCAACATCACGAACGATCTTATCGTTCCACGTGACTTCCTTGTCAAGGTGCTCCAGCACTCCCTCCAGCCCGAACTTGGCGTATTCCAGCACCTTGTTCACCTTCTCTCCCGTCAACAACTGCAGCACCACCAACCCGAGCCCATAGACATCTGACTGAGGGCCGTACTTGCCTGTCCGCAGTAGCAGAGGGTCAATATACCCCACAGTGCCCCAGATTGACGAGTCATTGACTGGTAGGAACTTCGCCAGACCCACTCCTCCGAGTTTGCTGATGAGATCGTCGTCCAGCATGACATTGGCGGGCTTCACGTCCTGGTGCAGGATGGGGTAGTCCAGGCGGTGCAGGAACACTAGCGCCTCCGCCACCTCAGCTGCGATGCGCAGGCGGTCTTTTTGCCTCAGGGACTTGCGCCCAGTCTCAGTCGCCAACCTGTCCTCGAGATTGCCGCCAGAGAGTGCCTCGTATACGATACAGCGCGACTCGGCATTGTAACCTATAAGCTGCACAATGTGGCGGTGGTCGGCGCGTGTGAGAACTGTCACTTCGCGGAGAAAACGCTCTCCTGCCTGCCGGCTAGTGTCAGGGTTGAGCTTCATTACAAGGACCGGTCGGCCGTCGATTTGACCCTTGTAGCCTGTACCGAAGCCGCCTCTACCGAGAGAGTTTTCACGGTGGAACTTGTTGGTTGCTTGCTCTAGCTCCCTGCCGGTGAACTTTTTCACGCCCTCCATGTGGGCTGCTCAGGTACCGTGTCTGGTGGCTACGGCTACGGCTACGGCTGGAGTTGTAGTGGGACCATGAAGGGACGAACGTCAGGGGAAAGGAACAAAGTTGAGGGGCATTAGTTATCAAAGAACATTAATGAGTACAGCCTTGAGTCAATCTGACGAACAGGAAGATAAGGAACCAAATGCATGCATGATGGGGATAAACGGTTGAAATATTTATCACGGGAGTGAGGTAAGGACGGGATGGTAGTGATTGACTTTGTGCTCTAATGTGTGAGTGCGGATGTTTTTGAGAGAGGGAGAGAGGGAGGGAGGGGGAAAGGTGACGGCGTGAGTGCGTGAGAGAAGGTGAGAACGGAGGGAAAAAGGGAGAATAAACGGCATCTCCTCCTCTCGCTTCGCATGAATCATGCACAGAATGGAAACTGACACGTTCGCGAAAAAACAAAAAAGCACTATGGAACTTTCGCACGGTGAAAATACCAGGACACGAATGTAATCGGCAACTAGGAATCATCAACCTTCGCAAAATGATCAAAATAAGTGACATTGCCTTTAAAAAGCGAACCTCCACTAAGAAAGACAAACTGAGATCCAACACGGGCAGCACTCACCAGACAAGCACCGTTAAAAATGGTGTCTCGATACAGTGACAGAAGTTAACAGTTTTCTACTGAACTCCGTACAATAAGCCTTCTACGTCTATTGTTGGCTCGCTCTTGACCGCGTGCAGCTAGCCTTTGTGGACGACAGATCTAAAAGTCGACATGCGAACTAAGCAGCCAAGGCGAGCACTCCGGAAGACGTTGATCTGGCAAGCGAGAGCAGTGCTGTGGGACGGTGGAGACAGCTCAACGACGCGTTCTAAGCAGATGCCAGTGTCCTAGGTTCAGGTTGAGCACATGGAACTTGGAAGGACTAGATGCTGCTACAGACACGCATATGGAAGGGCAAGATGCTGGAGGAGAAACTAGGGAACCAGCGGGGGTGAGCACAATCGACTCCAATGGGTCTCCGAAGCTGTGTCTGGCTTGGTGCTCACCTAGGCAGTGGTTGGCGGGAAACTGGGCTCGTTTTGGAGGGCAGCAGAAACGCCAACAAATGACGCTATCACATACAGTTGTGTACTCATTCGTATATTCTTGGTAGCATAGTCGAAGCTATTGTTTCCAATTAAGGGCAAACTAGGTGTGCCCCTAAAACGAATCTGAGGGCCTGCGCTGACTGTACAATGAGCCCACACTAGACTAAAAATGAAAACATGTGTATTTATGAGTCCAATGGGCCAATATTACCAGCAAAGGTGATAGGTGAGCCATTATGGACTCAGTACAAGCGCATTTTGGATCAGAAAGAACATGCGCAATGCTGAATACTGCTTTCATTGTTTATTAGTCTAATTGAATAGGTCCAGATATGAGTCTGAATCTCATTGATTAAGGTGTCTCATTCAGATGCCCTCTGAACATGGTCTAACCCTCTATTTAAACTCGCATAAAAGTTCATTCGTGTACCAGTGATCCTTATTCCACTCAATCTAGTTCACAACTGATGTTACATTTCGGTTACCAGCAACACGAAACTGAGGCTGGAGCATACAAATGCCAAGCAGAGCAGTTTCAATTCAGCCAGCCCTCGATCTTCTCGAAACTTTCAATTCTTAGCGCCAGCAGCATCCTGAGCCAATTTGCGTCTTCAGTGCTCCCACCCAGTTACCGACGAGTCGGCGACAACTCGTTGGTCGATCGCACCGCTACTCGCCAATCCTGCGCGACATGGACGACGCCGGAATGTCGCTTTTCGAAGGGATGGACTTCGTCGATCCCTCCACACTCCTCTCCCCACCCCGCGCCATCACCCCGTCATTCGAGTCGCCTGACTCCTCCCGCGCCGCTCCTCCCGCCGACGCGCAGCACCAAGAGCTTCCCTCAGCAGGCGATCTCGCCAAGCCGGGCTCTTCCTCTCAATCCCCGATACAAGCTTCCTCATCCGCTTCGTTACAGGCATCTGTACCTCCGGAAGGCACAGACGAAGCGATAAAGTCCGCACCGCTGGACGCTTCGCTGTTCACTTCGGAACCCGCCGCCACACCAGCGGACACGTCACCAGCCACGTCAGCAGCCTCTGCAGCAGCCATTGCGGGATCGGCAGCGGGAAGTCCATCGCCGCTGTCTCCCGCAGCCGCCCTAGCAGCCCTCTCGCCTTCCGTTGCCGTCCTCTCGCCGTCCCTGCTTCCTGTAACGGCACCGGCCAGCAGCGGCGGCTCGCCCATTGTCGGCTCTCCTAGCGCCAGCGTGGCAGGCTCGGCGGCCTCCTCAGGGAGCGTGTTAGCCGGTTCCGTTGCCAAGCCTGTCGGCCTGGTCCGGAAGAAGAAGCGGAGCATCAGGATCGGGTACGAGCGGGACTCTGCGGAGGAGTCAGCAGGTTCGGCGGGGACAGTGGCGGCGAGATCTGCGGACGCGAGTGGCAGCAATCAGGCAGCAGGATTGGCAGGTTCGCATAGCAGCCAATCAGAGACGGAGATTGTTGCTGGCGACGGAGAGGAAAGAGGAGAGGCTGGGGCGCCGGTCAGGGGGGGTCGTGTGGAAGAGCGGGGGGAGGAGGGGGGCGGTGGCGACGGGCACGCTGCAGCTGGTGCGGATGGCAAGGCAGCCGAGGGTTTGGATGCTACTCGTGGCTCTGAGGCTGCTGCTGCTGCTGCTGCTGACGACAGCAAAGCTGGCAGTGACGTCATGACAGATGAGACGAAGAAGGGTGTGTTTAGTGCGTACTCAGCAGCCAATGGGATCGCAGAAACTATTGAGGTGGAGGAGAAGAAGACGGTTGTAGAGGCAGCAGCAGAACCTGCTGACGTGGCAGGAAGTGCAGAAGTGGGGAGTCAAGATGGAGAGCATGAAACTGCTGATCTGTCGCCTCCTCCAGCCATGTCAGCCGACCATCCTGCTGATGCAGCAACGTCAGGCTCGGACGAAGCAGGAAAGGAGGGAACGGAGGCTACAGGGGCAGATGGGACAGAAAGGAAGGAAGGGGGAACAGAAGAGACAGCAGGAGCCATGGCGACAGGGAGGGAAGACACAGGGGGTGCGGAGGGTGGGGAGGGAGAAAACGATGTTGGGGAGGCAGAAGCTGGTCTGGGGGGAGAGCTAGAACAACAAGTGAAGCGCCTCCTTGCTGACGTGGCAGCTAATCTGACCGCTGTCCAGGCCAAGATCCGCGATGCCACATCAGCACGGAAACGGGCGGTCCAGATGCGCCGGCAGGCAGCTCAGCGGGCGGCAGCCGCTGCGAAGCGATTGGAGGAGATTGAAACTGAGCTGGCAGCGGCGTGCGAGGCGGAGGAGTTTGAGCTAGCGGACGAGCTGAGCCAGCGGGCGGAGCGGGCGGCGGGCGAGGTGAAGGACTGGGGGGGCGAGGTGGCGCAGGCGGAGGAGCAGGTGGCGCGGTGCAGCAGTGACGTGCTGCGACTGACGAGTGAGGAGGCAGAGATTGAGGTCGGGGCTGCTGAGGCCCTGCGACGCATTCACAGGGTGAGTGGCGGGATGGGCAGTGAGAAGGGGGGTGGGATTAGCTGGAGGTGATGTTGAGCGTGGAGGAATGGTGAGTGGGGGGGAGCGGTGAGTGGAAGGGAATGGTTATCGGTGGGGAATGGTTAGAGGGTACGGGAGGATGGTGAGGGGAGACACAGTGTGACGATGTTGGCTTGGCCAGATGTCTGGCAAAATATCTCGCCAATCCTACCCTGTACTGCACGCAACTAACAAGATGACTGTCCATGCGTCTGGTGCTCAAATGTAGGCCATACTCAGTACGCTGACTAGGAAGGATTCTCAAGCGCCGACCGAGTGCTCTGCAAGAGCTGGCCTGGTCACCCTTGCTGCCCTCCCCCGCGTCGTGCAAGGCAAGCAGGCAGCAGCTGCCATGAGCGCTCTCTAAGGCCCGCGTGGACGAGGCTGAGTGAAGGCTGCTCACTGCTCACTGTCGCTGCTGGGATGCAGTCGCATCCTCGCCTCACCAGCATTTGCCAACGTCATGCCCTATCCGCCCGTGCAAGTGTTCCGGCCATGTCTACTTCACGTGGAAGATGCACGGCAGGCAGGAGTGCTGATGTGCCCTTCCGTTTCGCATCCCCTCTTCCCAACTCGTCCAGTACCCTTCTGAGAATTCTCAAAAGTGACACACACATATCCGTCTCCACTCCCCCTGCTTCTCGCTCTTTCCCCTCTCCCCAATTTCTCGCTGTCTGCTGCCAGCAAGCAGCAGCTGCTGCCGCAGAAGCCAAGCAAGCAGCGCAGCAGCAGGGGGAGGAGGAGGAGGGGCGGGTGGCAGCAGAGGAGGCTGACGTGGACATCAAGAAGCGCAAGCTGGCGGTTGAGCGGCGCGTGCTGGATGAGGAACGCGCTGAGCTGGCAGCCAAGGTGGACGCTGCCACGTCAGCGGAGCGCCAGGAGCGTGAAGAGCTGGAGAAGGGGCGTGCTGAGCTGGAATCTGAGCTGGCAGCGCTGATGGAGCAAGTGCGAGCAAAGGAGCAGGAGATAGAGCAGCAGAGCGTGCTTATAGCGAAGGTGGATGGGAAGATCTCAGCCGTTGCTGGCAGGTTTGAGAAAGTGAGGGGAGGATTGGAGGAGGAAGAGAGGAAGGTGGTTCAGATGGAGGAGGAAGTGAGGGAGATGGAGAAGCGCGTGGAGGAGGGGAGGAGGAGGGTGGTGGAGGTGGTGGAGGAGGGGAGGAGGGTGGCGGAGGGACTGGAGAAGGTGGGGAGCAGGGCGGAGGAGGAGGCTGAGAGGCTAGAGCAGGCGGTGGAGGGGAGGAGGAGGGAGGCGGAGGAGGTGAGGGCGGTGGCGCAGCGGCGGGAGGAGCTGGCAGCCGCGGAGAAAGACGCCCAGGCGGACCTGGAGGCGCTTGGGCAGGCCATGGGCGAAGTGAAGACGAGCCTGCAGGTGAGCGGGGGATGCATTGAGGGGGAGGGGGTAGAGCAGGTGTGTGCATGGCAGAGTGAGAGTGTGTGAGTGGCAGGGGGGCGGGGTGGCTGTAGGAATGGGTGCAAGTATGGGAGAGGGAGGGAAGATTGAAGGAACAGGGGATGGGGCGGGGGTCACGCTGGTTGGGCTTACTGACAGCACTGCGTGAATGACTGCAGGCTGAACTCAGCAACACACCAGCATGCACACACCAGCATGCACACACCATCATGCACACACGCATCTCTACCATCTCGATACCCCCCCTCTCCATCTCACACCCCCCCCTCCACCTTCTCTTCTCGCCCACCAAACCAATCCTTGTGGACCTGCATAGCGTTGCAGAATGCCTGGTGCAGCTTTTTCCTCCTGTTCCACTCCCCTCCTTCCCTGACGCCCCCCACTTTCATGCCCCCCCACCTTCATCCTGCCCCACCTTCTCCTCACCACTGCCTCTCGCCCCACAGGAGCTGAGTGCGGCGCGCCAGAAGGCCCAGGAGGAGCTGGCCGCGGTGCACCAGCGCCTGGCCGCTGCCGCCCGCCGCATCCCCGAGCTCGACGCACAGAAAAAGGCGGCGGCCGCCGCCCGGAACTTCAAGGAGGCCGCCCGGCTGGCCGCCGAGGCAAAGCTGTTTTCCAACGACCGTGAGGCGGCAGAGCGGCAGGTGAAGGAGTGCGGGGAGGAGATTGCACGCGTGGAGCGGGAGGAGGCGGGGAAGCAGGAGGAGGTGTGTGCGATGGAGGAGATGGTGAGGGAGCGCGAGCGGGAGGTGGGCGTGGCACGGTGTGCGCGGCTGAGACTGGTGGCGGCGGTGGCACGGCGGGAGATGGAGGCGGCGGCGGAGGGGGAGGACTGGGAGGAGGCGGAGGGGCTGCAGGGGGAGGCAGAGGCGGCTGAGAGCGAGGCGGATGCGGTGCAGCTGCAGTGGGGGCTGCAGGGGGAAGAGTATGAGCGCAGGGAGTGAGGCCGGGCAGGTGGAGGAGGGGGGGATTGGGAGGAGGCGGAGGGGCTGCAAGGGGAGGTGGAGGCGGCTGCGCTGCAGCTGCAGTGGGGGCTGCAGGGGGCGGAGTATGAGAGGAGGGAGTGAGGGGGTAATGGAGGGGCCCCTGTTCGGGCTATGGATGGCACTGAGGCACTGGTATTGTCGTGGTCGCAGCGAGTGCCATGGAGCAATGATGGAAGTTGGATTGGAAGGTGGAGGGAGTGTGAGTTAGAGGACGTGGGCAGAGGATCGAAAGCAGCATGGAAGGAACAAGGTGGAATGGGTGGGAGATCGTGAGAAGGAGGATGGAGGAGTGCATCTGGGGTACTAAAGCGTGGTGGAGGGCAACATTCGGAGGTTCAAAAAGGGCCCATAAAGACACTTCGATGGATGACTTTTCTTCCCCATTTATTTTTATCTTGCTTTAGACGACAGCGCTGGACACTAGTTTGATGGATCATATATTGGTCTGTTGTGCCGCAGCCACAAGCTGAGTATGCGATTGGCGTGCTACGTGTACTGTTTCATATTTACCAGTACACAAGCAATGACCCACCCTCTGCATGCACTGGAAGCACACAGAAAGACAGCTCATGAAATTTCCACAAAAGGTCAAGCACAGACAACCAAATGCCTTTGGATTGCAGTACCATGAGAAACAAACAAGATCGATGACAACCTGCCAAAGGAAGTGACCACTGGATGGAGGCTCCACTCCACCTCGGCCGGTCCAAACGCACTCGGTAGGTAAGGTATGTGTGCCATTGGAATCACTGAGTGTCCCTGATGGCAGCTGCAGTGATGCTTGCCAACACCCACCTCAGTCACAGCTGCACCGCAGCAACCTTTCAATGACACACACGCGGGACTGTACAACTTTTCAATCTGTTTAAAAGCAGGGCACCGATTGCTCCGTTCTTCTGCAGGTGGGGGTCGGCAAATGGCGGAGCTGCTACTCATCCCAGTCGTCGTTGAAATCATCGCCCCCATCAACCTCACCACCATTCTCAGTGCTCTCAACCTCCCCATACACATCCTCTGATGCCCTCTCTTCCACCACCACCCTCCGCCACCTCCCTTCTCCCACTGCCACATGCTCCTTCCCCCCCACGCTTCTCAAAGCGCCTGCTCCTTGGCTCCCGTCCCTGTCACACTCCCCACTGCCTCTCCCACCGTGCCCCACTGCTTGCCACAGTCGCTCTCCACCTGCTTGCTGCACCCCACATGCCCCGCCCCCTGCCGCCTCTCTGCTTCCTAACACGCCCATATGTCCGTCCAAGTTTTCTGATGCTCCTCCTTCATCGCCTGCACCTCTCTCAGTTTCCCTCCCATTTAAACTTCCTGCTCCCCTTGATTGCCCCTCTCGCCCTGCCGCCTGTTGCTTTCCTCCCCCAGCAGCAGCAGCAGCAGCAGCAGCAGGTTGCGGGTGGGCGAAGGAGAAGAGGCGGACAGAGAAGGCAAAGGCACGGTCGAAGAGGAAGGGGCGAGCAGCCTCTGCTAGCGTCGACAGGTGGGCCACCACAGGGGGTTGGGTGGTGAGCGGGGGGAGCGCAGTGAGCGAGGGGCGGGCAGTGAGAGGTGGGCGCAGGGCGGATTTGGAGGTCCACACACTCCTCGTGGTGCTCATGGTGCCGTGCATTGGCGCCTCATAAGCTGAGGCCTTGCGTCGGCTCGTACATGCTGCTGCTCGGGTGGATGAGGTGGCGGCGAGTGGTTGCGGTGGCGGCTGGGTGGCGGGCGGGTGGAGGAAGACTGCGAGCAGATGATCCACCACCATGCCCACGTCCTGCTCCTGCATGCATGCATGCACCCATACACGAATGCCCCACGTGCACACGTGCATGAATGCACACATGTGCGCATGCATGGATGCACACAAGCACACATTCACGCAAGCATGCAGGCAAACATGGATGCACACACATGTTGGTGAATGGAGGGAGACAGTGGCACGTGGGCAAGGATGGCATGAGTGCATGCAGAACCTCCTGTCCTGCCCGTGCTCACCTGCACACTCACAAGAAGCATCCCTCACCCATCCACTCCACCACACGCAAACCACCCTCGCACCCTCGCACGCTCTCTGACTCTCACCTTCATGAGGGCCTGCAGCTCCACAGTCATCCACGCCCGCACCACACTCTCTGTCGGCGCACTCTCCACCACCCGCTGCCGCCCCCGCTGCTGCCACCCGCCCTTGGCCGCACCGCCTGCCCTCCCTCTCATGCTCTCTGCACCCGGCGCTGCAGACAGGGGTGACGGCGATGGTGCAGGCGATGGCAGCGTTGGTGCCACTGCGGTGGGCGCGCTGGTGTAGAGGCGCCGGCGCTTGCAATGCTCCCCAGAGGGCACGAACGCACTGGGGGAGTGATGGAAAGAGGGGGGAGGGGCGGGGGTTGCTGGAAGGTAAGTACGAGCAAACCAGAGGGGAAGTATGTGGGGGGTGGGGAATCCAGGGAGAAGTTACCATAATAAGAACGAGCGGACGAGATCAATGCCTGTGACCAACCCTTCATAGCCCCCCCAAAAAAGAGAGAGGAAAAAAACCACTAGGGAAGAAACAAACGCACCTGCCATGATGTGCACAGCACAGCTATACTCTCATACCTGATCATCCGACCACCGCTGCTTCCATGCCTGCCCTCAGCATGGCTCCCCGCAGCAGCATCAGCCGCAGCTTCGGTGGCCGCTCGTTGTGCCGAAGCAAAGGGCGGGATGGGCAGCTGGTCGAAGTCAGCAGCGGCGAGGTTGACGTGATGGATGATGGAGAGCGGCGCGGCCTGGAGGGATGATGCGCGCAGGGGATGGGAGGGATGGGTGGAGCCGCAGTGGCGTGATTGATTTGACAAGCAGACTCAGCAACAGAAAGGGGATTTGAAGTGATTGATCCGCGCAAGCTACTGCGCTTGTACCACCTCTTGCGTTTGACAGTCTATTAAAATACCCCATTTTCCTCACTCTACTCTAACTTGCTCTATCTCGCTCTGCCTACCTTGCAAACGGGACACACAGCTGGTCTCCTGGGCTGCTGTTGACTGCTGACATCAGCATGTGAAAATGTGTCTCGTCCAGCTTCAGCAGTTGCAACGTCAGCATCTCCTGCGAACTGAACCGCCGATTCGAGCCCCGGTGACGTGGCAACATGAGCATCGGTGAGCGCAACATCGGACGGTTGCTGCTGCTGCGGCTGCTGCTGCTGGCGTAAGTGCGGAGGGACGATGGGGCAACGGGTGCAGGACTCGAGCCATCGCACGATGCAGGTGAAGCAGAAGCTGTCTGGCAGTAACCAAGGCTCGACGACGTTCGTCGACGCCGGTTACACCGTTGAAGTTCGTGGAGAATCGAATTCGACCGTGAAACATCCCGTCGGTTTCACCCGCGAAACGGGGAAGCAGCAAGCGACGGGAGGAGGAAGAGGAAAAGGGAAAGCCGGTCAGAACAGTCACAGAGGTGTCAGAACAGAACCTTTAGCAAAGCAGCATCCGACAGTGGTACCGACGGAACGAGTGTGCTGTAGATTGAAGGGCTACGCCACCTACGGAAGCAAGGCTCGAGAAACGCCTCGTCGTGTGGTTCGTCAAGGCAGATCGGACAGACAGACGCCGCGACGGCCATGCGTGCCGAGGTGGGTTGACGATAACAAGCTAGTTTATGGCAGCACAGGATAGTACCTGAAGCTGCTCGACTCAAAAGCCTTGCGAGCCGCGACCTAAAACTGACCGTGTGCGCTAGACGCGGTATGCGTGGTACAGTGAAGTGAAGTGCGGTAGCATATGAAAATTCGATAGCTCAGTTCGGTTTATAAGTTTTGCTTGGTGGCAACATACAGGGTATGAGATTCTCCGAAATGAACTGTAGTTACTGAATACCAATACACTGTGTGGCAACCTGTTAGGACGGGTCACCTCTAGCGATTTTGCACGATCCATCCTGCGAAGGATCGAATTTGCCCGCAGTTGAAAACGGTTCAAGTTTTTGTTTATGTAACAAATAGATTTAGAGTGCGGTGGACGATCGGTTTTTTAGGATCGATCGTGCAAAATCGCTAGAGGTGACGCGTCCTTCGAGTCTGGTTGGGTCTGATAGGCACATATGAACGGACGACGGTTTGACGAATTTGAGGCACGGCAACGAACGATGTGTATCAGGCACTGGGCACAATGCAAGACCTAGCGTGCTCTTCTCCTACCCACCAACCACCACCACCCCAACTGAGTGCTACAGTACTAAGTTTGCCCTAGCTTCTCCTGGTAGTACTTTGTTGGTAACCCGCTGCGCCATATCTAGCGACCGCAGACTTTTTGGAACAGAGTTATGGCAGAAAATAGTGGCGCTGACAGCAGCAGCGGAAGTCACATTCCGAAGTATATTCCTTCCAAGCACGTTCCACTAACAGACCAGCTAGAAAAGGACAAGGTTCGTTCCGGTATTCGCATGCGCACTCATCGCTTATTTCCTATTGCGACTTGCACCCACCGTCCACTTCAATTTTCTGCACGATAACTGGATACCGGTGCCTTTGTTTTCAGGATGACGAGAGCTTACGGAGGTGGAAAGAGAGCCTACTAGGCGAACTATCGATCGACGACAAAGGTCGCACACTCTTCGCATATTCCTTTTCATGTAACCGCTGTCTGTGGCCCAATGGGATTTTCTCAAGCACAGCGTTCTTCTTCCGTGCCAGGCAAGCGAGGAGGCTCGGCAGTCGAGTTTTCGGCTGTGCGGCTGCTCGTGGAGGAGCGGGACGCCATCGCGCTTCCGCTGCCTAAGGACGGCGAGGCCGTGGCGTCGCCAGCGAGCTTCGAGCTGAAGGAGCGATGCAAGTACCGGCTGCAGTTCGAATTCACAGTCGCGAACGACGTGGTGCTGGGCCTCACGTACGTCAACACCGTGTATAAGGACGGCGATCAAGGTGAGCGCGCAGCGGCACCAGCTGGTCGAGAGTCTTTTGAAATTGTACCTCCGTTTGGCATTGATTCAGAGTGGCCAAAGATTGGATTGATTAAGCCACATGGAATGAAATGAAGCAATTAAGCCGATTACGACTTGGTTTGTTGGTCAGGGGGGCACGACGAAGCAGTGGTCTACTCATCAGGAAATGCGTATTTTTCTTGTGTGTGTGTGCGTCTTTGTGGAGCAAACATACTCTGAAGGGTTGGAACGCTGGGAGTCCATCAGAGAGATGTTATTGGGTTTTCACTGCCAGCAGTTTCTGTCATCCTCCTTTGTTCTATAGCTGTTTCACTTCGTCTGTAGGTGCGTTCAGTGGTGCGAGCTTTATTTATGTGCGGGTAGACTTGCACTCTTTGTCCCCTTCTCCCTTCCCACTGTCCGTTTTTTATTTCCTTCTTTGTGCCTTCAACATTGTTGCAGTGGATACTTCTAAGGTGATGCTTGGAGCATATGCGCCACAAGCGAAGGCGTATGTGTATGTGACGGAGGAAGAGACAACGCCTGACGGAGAGGAGGTCCGTGGCAAATATACGGCAGAGACAAAGGTGCGAGTTTTTTGTCCACTTGTCTGTGCTTTTGTCTTCTTTCAATTCTCTATATTGTATTGAAGCAGTGATGTATTGGCCATTTGTTTAACGAATTGGCAGATTTCCTCATTGTTTACTTGCTGTCTGCTTCCATCCCCTTGTGCAGTTCACTGACGACGATGGCAAAGTTCACTTGACATTTTCTTACTCTTTTGAGATTAAAGAAGACTGGTAGTCTGTTATTGACTCACTACTGATCACATATTTTGAACAAATATGGTGTGTTTCTACAATAAATATCTATCATGTTCGCAGCAACCTCACTCTGATGTATATTTCGCGTCCACTTGGTATGGCCAGCCTCATGGTCAAGTCAACAGACACACAGTATAGCTAGGCAGCAAATGGACATGACGAGACGACGTACGCTCATATAACGTTGGTATGGGGTGGTTCATTCTAGTGTTAAGTGGGAGAAAACCGTACTATAGGTTTTTCTTCTTTTCCTATTTGATTCACGATCAAGTCGTGTGAACTGAGTGCTTCTGTGCTTTATGCAAACACTTCCCATCGTTGCATAATCACGCGTGGCCCCTGATGATTGGCGCAAGAACCTCCGATGGATTTCTTTTCCACATCCAATTCCCCCACACAGTGGCGCGGGGGTTCTTGTGCATCTCCTCACAGCAGACCAGACAAATACAGTTTTCGAATGAATCCAAGACCTTGTCCACCTCGCTGTGCAGTCCCTACTTCGATAGTGTTCCGTGCCTCCCTTAGCACGGCAAAAATCTCTCTTCTCATGCGTCATTGTTAGCGTCCAGCAGTGTTACACGCACAGCGTTGCCACGCGTTTCTCTAATTTCCGGCACAGCATGACGTCCACCAGTTCTTTAGGAGCCATGACGCGAACTTTTCTAACCGATCGTGTGACAACACAAGGCGTCGCTCTGCCGCGTAGATGTGCGTCTCCAGCACCCCGCGCGCTGTCGCTCCTTTCTTCCACCAGTACAGTCGCGCCGCACTTTCCCCGAAGTACCCGGCCCATTTTGACGCGAGCAGACCCGAAAGGCGACGCGAGGGAGCTATGGCGCCGCGAGATTGAAGCTGATTCGGCAGCAGCAACGGATTTTGACGCGGTAGACGCCGATACAGTGAGGGAGGAGGCGCAACGATTGACACGTAAGCAGGTCATGGAGCGGCTCGACAAGGCGAGCTATCAGGAGCTTCGCGCGCTGCAGGAGAGCGGTTACGACTCCGATGGCGGTAGCACGCGGCCCGGCGGTGGTGGGAAAAACGCGGAGAGCGGAGGGGTAGCGTGGAAGGAGGTGGTGGATAAGATTCTGGTGGCGGACTTCTTTTTAATCACAATCGCTCTTGTCTGGTTCCTAACGGGCGTGCTGCAGCGGTCTATCTCGCATGACGACGGGCTGCTGCTGGCGTGGTTGAAGCTGTGGGACCCCTTGTTCCAACCGGCCATTGGCGTGTTCATGGGCTCTGCCGTGTTACAGGCCGTGCTTAAGAAAAGAAACTAAGTGCGTGATATGCATTACATTTTTAAATAGGGGTGCCGCTGAGGCATGCTGCTGAGGCCTGAATTTTGCTGAACTGGGGCGGGGAAAGGGGGCTAAGGAGGGAGGGGGAAATGAAGTGGGGTTTGGGAAGTGGAGGGGGGGATGGGGGGGCGACGCAGGGGAAAGGGAAAGGGGGTGAGGAGGAGGGGGGTGGGCGGCATGATGCGTTGCTGTAGCATGCGGAATGAATGCGTACCATCATTGCCTTACAAGAGATATTGAGCACCTGTTACGGGTGCAGTGCAATGGAACGAGGTAGCGAGGATTGCACTAGGCGCCAAACGAGCACAAAGTTGTTAATTTATGTATACCCTGCTTGCTGTTTGTTCTAGTGTAGTTATGTGCATCCTATTGATGGTGGTGTACCTTGCCTAGTTTCTGCTCTGGTCAATCTATATCTTGTACTCACTTCTTTCTATCAACCCTCTTTGGCCAATCTCCTCTCCCTCTCCATACCATCCTAAGCATAAGTCCAAAGCCCTTGTAGCTCCTCATCTCAACATGCTATTAGAGCGGGTTCCTGCCTAGGACCCGACTTTTATGGGCCCACCGTATCACGCGCATTTCATGGCGCCCGTAACGCTCTTAGCTGCGACTTCCGTCGCCTCGCTCACGACGGTCGCGAGCTTCGCGACCGTCGTGACGGGAGTGACGGCGAACCCGTCGTGCTGCCCCACCGTCGAATGCGCCCTGCTCGCGCCTGGCCGCCCTGCCCGTCACCTGCCTCGTCGACCGTCGCCCCAGCGCCCCGCTCGTCGCGCCGTCGCATGCGCCCGTTGCGCCAGCGACTGCACGAACACGCACGCCAGCGCACGTCAGTGCATGCCAGGGCGCATGGCGACGAGCCAGCGCGCACGCACACGAGCTGCCACCAGGGCGCACGCCACCGTGCAGCCCGCCAGAGCGCGCCCGCACGCCAGCGCGCAGGGTGGCGTGAGGGGCTGGCCGCCGTGAGCTGCCTAACGCCGCCGTGAGCTGCGCCTGCAGCAGTGGGGGGTGGGGGGGGGTATGGGGGTGGCGGGAGGTAATATGCAGCACCAGCCCGCGGCCCTTCTCTTCCCTCTCTCGCGCCCGTGTTTACGGCCGTGAAGGGGGGGGGGGGATGAGGGGGTGGCGGGGGTGACCAGCAAACCGCCACCAGCTCACTTCTCCTCCAGCTGCATCTGCACTCCTCTCCTCCAGCCGCATCTGCACTCCTCTCCTCCAGCCGCATCTGCACTCCTCTCCTCCAGCCGTCTCTCCACTCCTCCTTGCTTGCGTCCCCTCCAGCTGTCCTGCCTTGTGGGGGGGAGGTTTGGGGGTGGGCGGGGAAGAGGTTGGGGGGGTGGGGGGTGCCATGAAGTCAGCAGCGCCAGTCGCCAGTGAGCCCATTGCTCCAGTCGCCCGTGGGTCAGTTGCTCTAGCCGTACGAGCGGGATGCTCCAGGCGTACGAGCCCGTTACCCCAGTAGCACATGAGCCAGTTGCTCCAGTTGCCAGTGTGCTAGCAGCTTCAGCCGCCGCCCCCCACCCCTCTTCTCTTTCCCGCTCTCTGCACTCTTCCGCTGCGCCACATGTACCTGCACTAGTTCCTGCCGCAAGCAGGTTAAGGGGGTGTGTTAATTTATGTATACCCTGCTTGCTGTTTGTTCTAGTGTGGTTATGTGCATCCTATTGATGGTGGTGTACCTTGCCTAGTTTCTGCTCTGGTCAATCTATATCTTGTACTCACTTCTTTCTATCAACCCTCTTTGGCCAATCTCCTCTCCCTCTCGATACCATCCTAAGCATAAGTCCTAAGCCCTAGTAGCTCCTCATCTCAACAAAAGTATGAGTGAAGGCATGAGCGAATACTTATGTGCGAAACATGCAACGGTTACGCGGTGCGTGCGAGCTAGCTAGTGCTAGACTGGCATCGAGGTTCGGGCTAGTACCGAAGCGTAGGCCAACTCGGCCAGGCCAGCGGTACATGGTTTGGTAAAATAGTGCGCGCGGAGTTGGTCCCTGTTAGTAGTAACAGTTGGAATAACTGAAAGGTTATTATAACATTCCCGAAGCAGCGCGTCTGTACTACCGTCATCGCCCATATATAAGACATATATGTATTATCTTATACACTAGAAAAAATGCTTGGGTTGTCTTGTATTTGGGAGGGTTTCTGTGTCAAATGTTGCACATTGTTATAATAGGCTGTAGTGAGTAGCACTGTAGAGAGTACAACACTTTCTAGGTTTGCTATTTGTATCACTCACTTTCCTAGTTCATTCATTCCGTTGCTTTCACATTCTGAGACGGTAGAGACTGCGAAGGAGGTGTATGATGCTATTTCTGCACGCTATTCCACCCCTTCCTCTGCCTCTCTCAGCCGCATCCTCATGCCGTTTGTGTTTCCCGACCTCGGCTCTTTTGCGACTGTCTCGGACCTAGCCACACACTTGCGTTCCCTTGTCGCTAGCTACCGTGCGGCTTGCACTCAGGCTCAGCTTATTGTTGCCCCTCCTCCTATCGAGAGTAACCTCCTCTCTGTTGCCTCAGCCACTGACGCAGTTGCTCCTCGTCTGTTTGAGGGGTGTGCTGCCCCCCTGCTTCCTACCTTCACTGCTCCTCGTGCCTCTACTGCTGTGTCGGTCTCTAAGGACACTGCATCTGTTTCTGCCGCTGACAGGCAGAAACGGGGCAAGGGAGGCAAGAAAGGGGGGAAGGGGGATGGCGGCCGTGGAGGAGGTGGCGGTGGTGGAGGCGGCACTGGGGGCGGCAGTGGTGGCGGTGGCGGTGGTGCACCAGGCGGAGGGAGCTCTGGAGGAGGTGCTGACCCGCCTGCTGGAGGAGGTTCGACCAGCGGTGGTGCGGGGCCCCAGCAGCAGCAGCCACAGCATAGACAGCAGCAGCAGCAGCAGGGACAGCAGCAGTGGCAGGCACCACAGCAGCTTCAGTCGTGGGGACCCCCACTGCAGTGGGGTCCGCAGCAGCACTGGGGCCCTCCGCCATAGTGGGGACCTGGAGGACCCGGGAGCACTGACCGCAGCAGCAGCACTACCAGCTGGGCCCCTCGCCCCCCACGGCGCGACACCGGCCCCTGCGACCACTGGTGCGTCACCGGACCGGGCAATCCTTGTGTCTGCGGCCGCGACGACCACTCTGCGGCGCGGTGCTTCCGCCGCCTCGACGACCTCTACCGTGCACGCTGGGGTCCTGAGGCGACCACCCCGCGCTGGGCTCGTCTGCTAGCCCGTAAGATTCCTGTATTTGAACTGTCTATGGACGATGCTCGTTAGTATGCTTTGTATGCTGATGTTGACTATAGTTCTGATGGATCTGTGTGCTCGCGTGTTCGTAGTCTAGGATGCTTGCCTCCTGTTAGTGTAGACCTGTGCCTCTCTAGTCTAGGTGCTTGTGTAGCCTCCGGACCTGACACGCCTCCGGCTGAGGCGTCCCTGTCTTTCACGATGGACTCTGGCGCGTCGCAGTGTTTCTTCCGCGACCACACGACCCTCACACCACTCCTTGCTCCGGTTCCGGTAGCTCTGGCTGATCCTTCTTCAGGACCAGCCGTTGCGCGCAGCTCCACCACCCTCCCGTGCCCTGTGGTCCCCTCTGGTGTCCTGCGCGACCTCCACATCCCCTCGTTCACTCGGAACTTGGTGGGTATTGGATACCTCCAGGACAGGGGGATCATCGTTACCTTTGTGGGGGGTGGGAGGACTGCGGTCTGTACAGACGCAGCTACAGGTGCTGTTCTGGCCACGTTCACCAGGGAGCCCCGCTCTGGTCTTTACGTTCTCCACACCGAGCGCTCCCCGGTTGCTTCCTCTGCTCAGGTCGCTGCGTCCCCTCAGGTCCCAGTGTCTAGTCCGGGTGCTGTGTCTGGTCAGGAAGTGGGGTCTGGTCAGGTTGCTGCGTCTTGCTCCTGTCGGTCCCTCGCCCACCCGACCGTCTTGTGGCACCACCGCCTTGGCCACCTGTCGCTCCCCCGCCTCCGCAGCATGGCCAGTCACAGTCTTGTCTCAGGTCTCCCGCGCGTCTTTCCGTCGCTCCCTCCCTCGCTTGCCCCACCCTGCACTCCTTGCGTCGCCGGCCGCCTGCACGCCACTCCGCACTCCTCCTCCCTTCGTCCGGCCACTGCTCCCTTCCAGACTCTCCACCTGGACGTCTTGGGCCCTGCCCCTACGATGGGACCTGAGAGGGAGCGCTACTTTCTAGTGGTCGTTGACGACTACTCCAGGTACACCACGGTGTTTCCTCTCGCGAAGAAGTACGAGGTGACTTCTACGCTGATCCGGTGGCTTCTGGCCACTGAGGGCACTCGTGGTAGTCGTGTCCGTTGTCTCCATTCCGACCGGGGGGGTGAGTTTCGCTCCGGCGTCCTTGCCGGGTTCTGCGGCGAGCAGGGCATCAGACAGTCCTACACGCTGCCGAAGTCCCCACATCAGAATGGGGTTGCTGAGCACCGCATTGGCTTGGTCATGGACATCGCCCGCACGTCCATGATCCATGCCCGTGCGCCCCATTTTCTGTGGCCCTACGCGCTGCGCTACGCCGCGCACTAGCTGAACCTCCAGCCGCGTGTCTCGCGGCCAGAGTTTTCACCGACCAGTCTTTGGACTGGGTCCCCTGGTGTTGGGTCGGCCTTTCGTGTCTGGGGCTGCCTTGCGCTTGTCCGCGACACCTCTGCGGACAAGCTCTCGGCTCGCGCCATCCCTTGTGTCTTCCTTGGTTTCCCGGTGGGCTTTCCCGACTACTCCTTTTACCACCCGCCCCTCCACCAGTTTCTCGACTCTCGTGACGTCCGTTTTGACGAGTCCGTGTCCTACTACACCCGGTACCCCTGTCGAGGTCTCCCGGTTCCCCCTCCCTCCCTCTTCCTCGCACCCTCTCCTCCCCCTGCTCCCGCTCCTCTGGTACCCCCGCCCCCCCCTGGTCCTGCCCCGTCAGGTGTGTCTCACGCTACCCCTCTACCCTCGGTCGTGCTTCAGGTAGCGTCTC